TGTGTGTGTGTGTGTGTGTGTGTGTGTGTGTGTGTGTGTGTGTGTGTGTGTGTGTGTGTGTGTGTTTGTGTGTGTGTGTGTTTTAATAGACTCAATATAACGTGAAAATAGATTAAAACACCGTTTTGAAGACGTTTCATGCTTTAAAGTCTTTTGCACCAGCAGATGGCTGCCCGTCACTGAGCCTTTTTTTTTTTGGTTAAAAGGGAGTTTTTTCCATCCCACTGTCGCCAAGTGCTTCCTCAAAAGGAGTCTTCTGATTGTTGGGGTTCTCGGTTTTGTTGAAGGATCTATACTTTGCTTTATAAATGCAATCAAATTGAATTGAATAGAATTTGGCTTTCTATAGCTGCAAACACCTTTATCAAATATTTTTGAATTTTTAATTGTTTTTTTCTCCACGGCATTTATTTTTAATTTAACTTTTCATATTTGTTGCTTTAATCATTTTTGTTCAGCACTTTGTAACTTTGTTTAGAAAATAAATTGCTTATAAACAGCTATTTGAATTGGCTGAGTGGTTAGGATGATGCAGGTCATCGGGATCAAACACAGAATAAAACAACCACCAGAAAGCAGGAAATGAAGTATTCTACAATGAAATCATAATAATTGTGTATGGAAAAATGTCAGTCAGAACACTAAGTTAAAACATATTGGTTGATGTTTGCAGAAGATACAGGTTTTGTGGGGATTACCAATTGTATATTACTGATATATAAAGTGCAATTACATACATGTTTACACAATGTATTGAAAGGGGGCTTCATAAACTAGTAAGTAATGAAAACTCTGCTGTTTCCATACAACAAGAAAAGGCAATGTCACTCAAATAATTCAAACTCTTTTTTTATATATAGATTTCTACAAACACAACATTGTGCGTTCTCTCACCTCTTCCTTTAACAATGCTCTGAAGTGTTTGGGAACTGAGGAGTACTTTTAAACGTTTAAGTGTTTTATTGTTCTGTCTTGATAAAAGATTTCAGTTCTTCAGAAGCCCGGGATGTCTTGAGTTGTACTTTCTGTTTCATTATTCAGGAATTACAGACAGGAGGGCTTTGCACCCACACACCCACACCCTTTTATTACTGAATCAAATCATGTTACTAGAAACACCTTGCAGTTTTTCCTTGTTTTGCTGAAATAAGCAACATCAAAGTTGCTCAGAAAGGTGTATATGTTGTTCAGGATCAATAGAGTCTTGTAAATTTGCCCAGACTTTCTTTCACAATGACCTGTAGTTAATCACTCTCCATTTTTATTACTGAAAGACTGCACTGTTCTGCAATACTATTTATAAAGCAACCATGTTAACCAGTTACTAGGATTTTTCACACAACATTTCCAGACTCCCATTGTTTCTGTTCTGTATTTTTAGAAGCACCACATTCAAACTGTGGATATTTTTTAAAATGATTAATAAAAAAAACTATGTTTCAGTATTTGAAATTATACCTTGAAGTATAAGATCCCTGTATTCAGTTTAATGTACGTTTTACAGTGTCACAACTCTTCTGGGAACAGGGCTGTATATATACCAGCGCACACAAACATACAGCATGATCCTGCTCTAATAGTTTGATATTATATTCCTCTTTTTGAATTCAAATGTAAGAATGTGGGATATATATTGAACTTATGAATGAGAAGATTAGATCACATGAGATGATTTTCCTCCCTGCTTGTGTTCTTTAGATCGCGTATCTTTGAGTTACCGTGGACCACAAATCTAAATTAATTCCCAAACTATCATATCAAAGCATTTCTTATACTATGCCAACATACAAAGATAAGATAGCTTTGTGTGAGTGCACCGAGTGTAAGGATTTTTGGCTATTAAAAAAAATAATAATTAAGCTGTAAATGATACTTGACTTAAAAAAAAAAACGAAAACATTTGTGCAATACAGGAAGCCATCATTTACCTGAACCACACACACTCAGAACAAATTTCCATCTAGTAACATTAGCAGGCAGAGCTCTGATGAGTCAGTTTATATGTAAAACAGTAAAAGCATTCGCTATATCAAGTTATCGGATGTAACTGTTAAGTTATTAAACTTTTCTGCTGCAAAACTCTTACGTCACTATCGCACTTGTATTCCGGAAAATCCCTATCAGAGGATTATAAAAGTATAATAAAAAACTTTGTGATTAAGACATAGTTATCAGTTTATTTGCTTAATGACTGAGATGTTTTTTGTCGGCTCAGTCAACAAGAAAACACTCCAAGGTCACAATGAAAAAAAACAAAGTGTCCCTTTTTATTCATATATATATACATA